CAACCCAGGTGAACATCCATAGATGAAGGGGTAAAGAAGATCAAGAAAGCAGTTACAAAAGAGGCATCCAAAAAGCTGACATGCATTTAAAGGGATTTCAAATTATTAGAGATCAGAAAAAATGCAAAATAAAATAGTAATGATGTTCTTAATTCCCATTTTCTGCCAAATTTGTCATTTTCCATAGTTCTAATTTTTCCCGACCTTCACACACTGTTAATTATACTGGTTATTTGGGAGAACTCTTGGCACTATGTAGTGAAGTTAATTATATTCATACTAGAGGCCCAGTGCACAAAAATTCGTGCACTCGGGGGGTCCCTCAGCCTGGCCTGTGCCCTCTCACAGTCCTGGACCCCTCGGGGCATGTCCACCTGCCGGCTTAGGCCCACTCCCCAGGGGATCAGGCCTAAGCTGGCATCCTTCTGGCAGCCCAGGAGCCCTTGGGGGATGTCCGACTGACGGCTTAGGCTCCTGGAGGGAGCGGGCCTAAGCCGTCAGTTGGACATCTTTAGTGCTGCTAAGGAGGCGGGAGAGGCTTCTGCCACTGCCACAGAGCTCTCAGCCCTTAGCCTGGCTTGTGGCTGAGTGGAGCTCCCCCTGTGGGAGCTCACTGACCACCAGGGGGCAGCTCCTGCATTGAGCATCTGCCCCCTCGTGGTCAGTACATGTCATAGTGAACAGTCGTTCCACTGTTAGGGTCAATTTACATATTACCCTTTTATTATATAGGATTCTATGACCCAAACATTCTGCTCCTAAGTCTATACACCAAATAAATATTCACACGGTCCACACTACAGTATCATTAGTGTTATTTTAGTGGCAGGGAGTTGGAGGTATTTTGGATTCCAGTCAGTGAATAAAGAGGAAAAATGAGGTAGATACACACCTCAGTAGAGCATTACTTAGAACCCACAGATTAGAGGTACACATAGCCACCTGGATGGATCTAAAAGTCTAGTGCTAAGTGAAAAAGATAAGAAACAGGGTGGGAATCAAACCTTTTAAATCTCCCTTTCATACAAAACCAAAAAGAAAAAAAGAATTTTAAAATATAATAAAATAAAACAATAAAAAGGGAAGAAAATTAAAAACACAAACTTTCACAGCATGACAATTTAATCTGCAAACACAATATAACTATACACATATAATACCAGTGTGGCTCTGTTCTTTAAAAAGGATACAAAGGCAGGCTCAAGCAAAAACAAACCAAACCCCCCATTTCCAAAAATTAAAAATATATGCACAAAAACCAATAATACACATTCTATAAGAATACAAACAGACGATAAATAAACCCAACCTCATGGAAAGTAGGATTGGGGGCAGTCTAGTGAGGATGGTATGCCATAAATGAAGAAGCAGGACTGGCACAACTCTCCTCCGTACCCAATGTTCAGAAAACGAGGACAACAACACAGCAAGTACATAGGAATGTCTCTAACCTAAAAATGTGTATGACATTTGTAAAGAAAATTATAAGATTTTACTATAAGATATAAAGATTTAGAGGATCTCAATAAAAGGAGAAACACCAGTGAGTGGATAGGGAAAGCTATTACTAAAAGGTGTCCATTTTCCCCCAATTGACTAATACATTGAATAGGTCCTCCCTCACTCAAGCCAACATAGTTTTTCATTGAACCTGACAAGCTGGTTTTAAAACTCAAAAAGAAAAAAGCCAAGGCTCTCTTACAGAAAAACAAGTTTTTAAAAGGTGATGTCAGGACATAAAACTTTAGCAATTAAGACAAAATGGTATCTCAGAAATGGACCCACACAATGGAAATTTAAAATATGACATATTAGCATTGAGGATCAGTAGGGAAATAAATTATTTTCAATAAATGGTTGTTAGAAAAAAATTAAACAGAAAAATCCCCCAAGCAGTTGGATCCCCACTTACAACACAACAGCTCCCCTTCCCCTAATCCCACAAAACACCACCACCACAAATCAATTCCAAAGACCTTTAAATCTATTTAAGAAACACTCAGGAAATGGATAAAGAATTTCTTAAGGAGATAATACACACCAGAAAGATGATGAAAAACTATAATTCACTGGAAGATATCATAAAGTGAAAAGACCACAGCTGCCATTCATATAATTAACAGAAAAAGGAGTCACCAAAAATATTTTAAAAACTCTCAATAATCAACAAGAAAAACACAATAGGACAAAGGACAAAATTCATAAATGAATATCACAGCTGAAGAAACTCAATTGCCCAATATACATATAAAAGTATGTTCAATTCCTATTAATAATTAGAGAAAGTAAAATGCTGATGAGATCTCATTTTATACCTATCAGACCAATAAAAGCTAAAGGACTGAAAATATCAAATGTGGTAGACAAAGCTGGTGATAAATCAATAGAGTCATTTAGGAAAATGTTTTGGTTTAGGTAATTAAGTTAAAGATGTGCTTTTTTTACAACCCAGCAGTTTTCTACTGGAATATATTCTGAGGAATTCTTATGCTCCAGGAGACATGAAACAATGTTTATAGCAGCATTGTTTATAACAACAAAAACCTGGACAGCTCAGCTGCTCATCATCAGGAAGAATGGATGCCTAGTAAATGGTGCCATATCCACACGAGGAACAACAGTATAGCAGTAAACATAAATGAATGTGGTTACACTTCCTGAAATGGATGAATCCAAGAAACATAATGCCAAGTGACAACGCATATGTAGAAGAATATATACGTTAACATTGCAAATGTTCAAAACCAACCAAAATTAAATGAAGTTAAGTATACACATGTATACTTATATAAAGAAATGATAGACACAGAATTCAGGGAACAAAAAGCAAACAAAGAAATACAGAATGGGCACAGTAAACCTGGTAGCTGAGGAGTCCAGTGTGTGATTAAAATCCTGTGTGTGGCAATTACAGAGGCTTTACCTGGCAGGCCTCGCAGGGAGAGGGGCCCTCCCACACCAGTCTTGGTGTACGGCCAGGCCAGGGCATATCGTCTCTGAAGGAGTTGCAGTCAAGGTCAGGCCCCCTGGCCAGTGATGCTCGTTCACATGCTGACATCCTATCCCAGTGCCTCATTCCTACCCAGGTCCTTCACGTGAAGCCGTGGCAGAGGGCTTCTCCAGGCACCTCTGCTGAGCTCTCTTTGAGAGAAGGGGGAAACCTTCAAGACATTTTTTCTGACTCTGAGTTAGTACCCAGTACTTTTCTACTCCTAGCCCTTCTCATTTGCTACCCCCTCACCCCCACTAAAAATATCCCCTAAAAACAACAACAAAAAGCCCTTACAAACCTCAGGGTCCATAAAACTGCCAGTGCCTTTTGATCAGAACTCCCTCAGCAATGAGATGATCCCCACCTCTGTGCTGATCCACCTGACCCTGGACCAGGGTGTGGTTCCAGGGGGAAAATGGAACGGAGGGAGGGGGCTGTTGGGAGGGGGATTTGGCATTTCCTTCAGTTTTAGACTCTTGCTTATAGCATTGCACCAAGTGGTTAAAGGCTTAACTCTTTCAGTTCTGACTGAGCCTGACAGCTGGGCTCTCCCTGAGCCCCTAACAGTAACCTATTGATTAAGTTAGGTTGTGTAATAAAGCGACTTTGAACTCCTCCATAAAAACTTGAGCTCTGTGTGGAGGACAAATAGGATGAAACCACAAAGAAGTAACTGTTTAAATTATAGCGTCAGCACCCACGAATACAAAAAATGAAGGAAATTATGGGGTGATCACAAAGGTGCTTCATTCTTTTTAAAATTTGGGTGTATGGTAGAAGGTAGGATACAAAGGAATATTTTAAAACACATAATTCATATTATAAATTCTCTCCTCTTTAGAATAAAATCCCTTAAGCAAGACTGATTTTCTTAGATTTGATTTCATATTTGGGGCAAAATGTGATACATTTTAAGTATTTTTATCCCAATTCTGTGGATAATGAGTTTCTACAGATACTAACCACTTTAAAATATATGTGCTTATATAATGGCCTTAAACTACTTTCTTCATTCAAACCACTGTATAAAGTTATATTTGATCCTTAAACTACTTTCTCCAAACCTTAGGGAGTTTGTAAATCAGTTTATTTTTTTACCTCAAGCATGCAGGCTGTTTCTTCTCCTTTTGGTTGATGTCCTTGCTGTGCTATTATCCATCTTCTTTACAAAAGCCCCTCCTGTTCCCTGAAGATCACAGTTCCCCATATCCCACATCTAACCCTTCCTTCCCAGACCTCGTAATATCATCAAGGGCAAGTACTAAAACTGCACAATGGATCATTCTCTGACATACCATGGTTTTATAAAAGGTAAAATTATATTTTAAACTCATAGTGTATGATCATTTGTTACTGTATAAACAGTAAGAAATTCTCAAAGGTGGAAAAGGTATTATAGATTGCCTTGCCCTTATTTTGATAATTCCTTCTATCTATGTAGTGCAATTTGTTATAATTTAGAAAGTGCTTTCACATTAGCTCATTTGATCCTTATAACAACTCCATTAATTAGACAGGGCAGATATAATTATTCCCATCTAACAGATCAGAAGACAGAAACAAAAGAAGAGGTTTCGATGATATCCCTGAGGTCAAACAGCTAGTTAGACCTGAACACAGAAGCTGGTCTTCCTAGTCCACTAGACGCCTCTGAGACAAGGCTCTGCCACGTCCGACTTGTCCTAATCTTGTGAGACAACTGCAAAATACGAAACCTAAATAGACAAATCTCTTACTTTTGAGACGCATTTCATTACCTACCCAATTAAACATTACTGACCACAAGGCAAAGTAAATTTAATGAGTTTCTCCCAATTATTGCTTGTATTGCATAGTCTCCATTTTCTTCATGTGTAGCTTTCAGCAAAATCCTTACTTAAAATTGATCAATTCAGAAATATGTTTCTGGTAACACTGCTAAGGCAGGAAGGGAACACCTTTAAAAAGAAAGCTTTTACAAAGCTAGCAGACCTTTTTTTTTAAAAAAAAAAATTATTAGTTTCCTTACCTCCAAAAAGATGGAATGCTTTCTTTCTGCAGCTCGGTAGGGGCCACTTTGCAGAGCTGGATTTCTGAAAGCTTTGTTTTATTTTCAAATATTCTTTAGTGAAGAATGTTTTTGTGGCATTGTTCAATTCTAGAATAAAGCAAAAGCAAACTATTTTAAAACATTAATTTGAGTAAAATGGCAAGAACACAAAAAATAATTGTTGTAATATTTTGGTAATATAGTCAGATCTCTTTAAGACAGTGAAGACGAAACTAGAGTCAATTTTCTTTGTAAGTCAAGCCAAATGAAATTCTCCCAAATTCACATTTGAGGCCACTTTGATTATGTCAACATAGGACATGCATCTACTGTGAAGCTTATACGTCAGATACTCTGCCGGACGTGGAGGACGCAGCGGTGGATAAGACATATCTCCTGCCCTCAAGAAGACTGCAGACTAAAAGATGGAAATAGAAGCACATTAAAAAAAAGGGGGGAATAATAATGTGTTAGGGATGTAGCAACAGAATAGCTACAGTAAAATCATGGGAGGCTCAGGAGTGATCATGGTTGGTTGAATCCGCAGATGCAAAACCTGAGGATACCAAATAGGTGATGTCCTTAAAAAATCCTCAGAACAAATGCAGTATCAGCTTTTCTAATATATCCTCTAGGAGAAATCACATGAAAAATTCCCTTTAAAGTGCCAGAAAAATCTTTGCTCACCTTTAGGAAATGCTATGTTTCTTTTCATGAATCATGAGAATCATTTAATTGTGTACATACTTTTAATTTTCCCTAGGCAGCCAGATTATTTAAAACCAGGTAGTTCATATCTAATTGTAGTTATAATGTAGGGCCATATGGCTTATTTATCAGCCCATCCACTCTCACCTGGTCTTTATATTCCATTTCAATTAATACATTCCCTTGTGCTGCTATTTCATTAATTATATCTTTAAAGCACCTCAAATTCTTTTGAGGTAGGGTATAAATAATTAAGTAGGAATAGTCCCTTTATTACTGACAGCTTCTATATTATAGTACACAACCAAATACTTATTCCAGTGGAATATGTATTCTCAATATGATTTATTTTAGAAAAAACTGATTTTGAAAATAAAGGAAATTATAGCTTTGTTGTTTTGATAAATGAATCAAAAGAACACTTGAATCATCATTGCTTTAAGATGTTAGGGAAAGCAATTTTAAAATAATTATCAGTGTTAAATGAGATCATGAAAGGCAGAGACAACATCTGTCTAAATCGTTGTGTACATGGTCTAAATGCTTCTTATTAAAACAGGCTTCTAGTAAATGCTTTCTCATACAAATAGCCAGAGATAATATTGAGAAAGGGATGTCATTGGTAGCTCCACTTTTTTCACTCCAAAGACCCCAACAAGGGATCTGGTATTAGAAAAGAACCGCTTTCCCCACATCAATATAAGCCAGAAATGAGGAACCTCCAGTGAGCTCCTACCCTCTCATGGAACTGCTTTCTTTACTGTCTCCATCCTTTACTTGTTCTTCCCAAGGAAAGAAAGAGTAATCTGCCCATTCTGCACAGCAAAAGAAACTATCAATAAAACAACAAGAAAGCCCACTGCATGGGAGAACATATTTGCCAATGTTATCTCCGAAAAGGGTTTAATCTCCAACGTTTATAGGGAATTCAGACATCTTAACAAAAGGAAGATAAACAGTCCAATCAAAAAATGGGCAAAGGAACTAAACAGACACTTTTCGAAAATGGACATACAAAAGGCCAAGAGACATATGAAAACATGCTCAAAGTCACTAATCTGAGAGATGCAAATCAAAACAATAGTAAGGTACCATCTCACACCCTTCAGAATGGCTATCATTAACAAATGACAAGTGCTGGCGAGGATGTAGAGAAAAAGGAACCCTCGTGCATTGCTGGTGGGAATGCAGACTGGTGCAGCCACTGTGGAAGACAGTATGGAGTTTTCTCAAAAAATTAAAAATGGAACTCCCATTCGACCCAGTAATCCCTCTTCTAGTACTATATCCCAAGGAATCAGAAACACCAATCAGAAAGGATATATGCACCCCTATGTTCATAGCAGCACAATTTACAATAGCTAAGATTTGGAAACAGCCCAAATGCCCATTAGCAGATGAGTGGATTAGAAAACAGTAGTACATCTACACAATGGAATACTATGCTGCTGTAAAAAAGAACTTATCATTTGCAATAGCATGGCTGGACATGGAGAGCATTATGTTAAGCGAAATAAGCCAGTTAGAGAAAGATAAATATCACATGATTTCACTCATTTGTGGAATATAATCAACAGCATAAACTGATGAAGAAAAATAGATCCAGAGACAGAGAAGCATTGAACAGACCCTCAAACCTTAGAGGGAAGATAGGGGAGGCTAGGGGGCTGGTGGGGAGTGGTAAGAGATCAACCAGTGAACTCATATGCACAACCCAAGGACACAGACAATGGGTGTTGAAGTCTTGGGAGCCGGGGAGAAGGCAATGGGGGAAAATGGAGACATATGTAATACTTGAAACAACAAAGAATGTGGGTGTGCGACAGAGAGAGAGAGAGAGAGAGAGAGAAAGAGAGAGAGAGAGAGAGAGAGATATTTGTGTAGTGAGACTGACGACAGCTTAATGTCCCAATCACATTTCTCTATTGGGTAAAGTCACTATGCTTGACATGCCCTTTTGTCTCCTTTCATCCCCAGGTCGGCCCAAGCTCAGTTCAGGGGTTTTGTGCTCCAGTCTACAAGCACTGGGCAGACCAAAGAGGTGTAGCTTTATTTTCTCTTCATGATTTGATTACTAAGCCTAAAACCAGGTTTGCTAGTTGTCATGCAGCTGGCTGGGTTAGTCTACTCAAAGCTTATCTTCGAAATCTGATTCCCCCTTGCAGGTGGGTCCTTGGATTTTCTTTTCAGGGAGAAAAATGTACCATGTGTTTTCTCCAATTTACTGTACTTACTGTGATCCCCATCACATGTGGTTGAGGCAAGAATGTGGAGATAGACATTCTTTCCTTTAACATTTAGCACACTGTAGTGCAGCACTCAGGAAATATTAGCTCTGCTCACCTCTATCATTCTTCCCTCTTTTCTTGGCAGTTCTCTATGATCCACATTCATTAGCTTTTTCTCTCTTCATTAGTAAGTTTTATTTTATTTTATATTATTTATTTTTTATTGTTTAAAGTATTACAAATAGTAGTACATATGTCTCCTTTCCCCCCCATTGACCTTCCCCTGGCCTCCCCAGCACATGCCCTCACCCCCTTAGTGTCTGTGTCCATTAGTTATGCTTATATGCGTGCATACAAACCCTTTGGTTGATCTCTTACCCGCCCCCCACACCCTCCCCTGCCTTCCCACTGAAGTTTGACAATCTGTTTAATACTTCTTTGTTTCTGTATCTATAGTGTGTTTTAAATACTGTTTTATATTCCATCTTTGTATGATAATAAAATAAACAAATCCTTGCTCCAATTTTACTTTCTTCTCATTCAAGAAGAAAGACCTTAAGAACAATAAGAAGGTTGAGATGATCTGCAGTGTGGGGGAAGGCATAATAGTTTTTCTCGGACATTTACAGGTATATCCTCTGATACTCCAGAGAAAATAACAAGGGCCAAAGAATGAGTAATAGTGGAAGGCAGATATGAGGAATGAACAATCAATAGGGCTGCTTCAAGTTTCAATGGAATATCCTTGACACTGGAGAAGTCCACGTAAAGACTAAAAAATAGCTACTTAGGATGATCTAGAAAAGACCTCAGCATAGAGTAAGGGATTAAAGGTGAGAAACTATTCTTACCTATGAACCTATGATTCTAACAGAGTTCTATGAGTTGGGCAAGCACTGCTTTATAAACTGGAGGGAGAGTAACAAATTATGCTACACTGTATATGATTTTCAATAATTTTCTCATGATCTATAATAAAAGCATAATATGCAAATCAACCGAATGACCGAACAGCAGAACGACCGTCCAGATGACCTTCCAAATGACCACGCTATGACACCACTGGCGCCAGGCCTGCCAAGGCGAGTGCAATGTGATTGGTTGGGGGGCCCCGCCATCGCCCCATGATCGCACCACAGAGGGAGGCCCAGGTCACCCTCTGTGGGGCGATCGATGGGGGGGCTCCGCGATCGATCACCCCAAAAAGGGAGGCTCAGGCCACCCAGCCGGTGGCCACAGAGGGAGGCCCAGGACACCTGGCTGGTGGTGCTGCGGTGGGTGGGCGGGGCCCCCCTCTACGGGGCGATCGATCTGGGGGCCCCACGATCAATCGCTCCACAGAGGGAGGCCCAGACCACCAGCCAGTGATGCTGTGGTGGGTGTGCGGGGACGGCCAGCAATCATCCCGCAGAGGGAGGCCCGGGCCAGCCAAGCGATTGCACCCCACACCTGTTGCCTGCAGAGGGAGGTGACCGGTGGTGGGGGCGGGGGGGGGGAAGAGCTGCACAGATGGCAAGCAGTGGCAGTGGCGGGGGCAGGGCCAACTGCTGGCAGCAGGGGGAAGGAAAGCCCCGATAGGCCCTGATCGCCGGCCAGGCCTAGGGACCCTACCTGAGGGGTCCCTGATTGTGAGAGGGCGCAGGCCGGGCTGAGGGACAACCCCCCCGCACAAATTTCGTGCACCGGGCCTCTAGTAGTTTATAAAATACATTAAGATCTGGAACAAAGAGAATACAGAGGCAATCATGTTAATGAAAGGGAACAGTTACCTGTCTGGAAAAAGACTCTGGAAATAATTGTCCGACACAGTGGGCAGGGAGTGCTTGCAGGATTGTCTTTGGCAAGAGTCCGTAAGCAGGGCTCACAGAAGATGTGGTGGCAAGGGTAACACATGTATGGGTTGAAATAAACATCCAGACACACTGCACAGATGTAGCTTTCCTTTTCTTCTACATATTCATTTTCATCATCTGTATTCATGTCATTAGTCAAAGTCTGCAAAACATAAGCAAAACCAATTTTTCTTAGTTCAGCATGAGATTAGTTTCCTTGAAAAAAGAGAGACTGACTTTATATTTTGTTAAAATGAATGAAAATATTTATAAAAGCATATAACATTTGTTTCTGTGACATATTCAAACTGACAGAAATACTACCTTGTAAAGTAATAAGAAACTGAAAACACATGAAAAAACTCAAAATCTCCATTATTCTTTTTATATAATGCTAAATGCTAACATATACCTAAGCACATTAAGCACACCTGTATCTCTATGTAACCAGCAGTAATTAGTAAGTGTTAAGGTATACCAGACCCAGGATTACAGATTCTCCATTTGTCCTACCCCCACCACCGTATGAAATTTTATGGATGCAGTCTAGAGAAGTGGTTCAGAGTTTGGGCTGTAAAGTCAAACATACCTGTGGCTTAAATAAGTTATTGTGACCTTAACCTTATTCAATCACTCTGATTCTCAATTTCCTGCTAAGTATAATGATTGTCTTAGTCTGTGTGGGCTGCTGCTCCTGTCAGACAAGGTTCTGTTATTTAGAGCTAAACTCACAATAACCATCTCCACTTGCCTGCTAACTCCCTACTTTTCACAAGCAACCATCCCTGAGCCAACAGTGGTTAAGACCTTTCATACCTTATCTTGGCTCACGCAAAATATAAAAGCACATGTGCACATAAACACGCTGCTACTTTTTCACTTATCAACATATCATGAATACCTGTATCAGTAGATACTGATCTATCTTTTCCTCTTATTTTTAACCTAGGTACACACATATTTTACATAAATAAAATTATCTCATCTCGTCTTTTCATGTTTCAGCTTCTCTCTCCCTCTCCCTCCCTCCCCCCCATCTTTCTCTCTCTCTCTCTCTCTCTCTCTCTCTCTCTCTCTCTCTCTCTCACTTGCCTTCCCCCTTCCTGTCTTTGTGGACTTGCTCCTCCTCTCAGTCTCCTGGTTCCTCTCTGACGCCTGATCACTCTCCTTCTATTACTCTGCCCTCTGTAAAAATGTTCCACCCCTCTTTTAGGCCCCTACTATTCTTCTGATACCTTCCACAATACTTCTACAGCAAGCACGCTTATTCTCCATATATCCTCCTCTATTACATTTATATGACCCTTGTGGGCATGGATTATGCTTTATTTACTTTTTCTTAACTCCTGGACCTGGAGGGAAGAATAGAAATTGGAATGAAGGGTGAAAGTGGAAAGGAAATTTGAGTTAAGAGGAAAGTATGGGGAAACCATGGAGTGTGTGGATGAGGCACCTGTCAGTCTGACTACACAGGGTTTTTCCAATAAGGAATAGGAAATATTCCTTGGAGAGATAAGGTGGGTCAGTTGCTATTGGTCAGGACTGGGCAAGTGAGAGACTATGGGCCAAAGACAGGCTGCTGCCTGTTTCTGTAAGTAAAACTTCACTGGAACACTGCCATGTTTCTTTGCCTCTGTATTGTGGATGGCTGCTTTGTGCTACCATGGCAGAACTAAGCAGTGGTGACAGAGACTATGATCGGCAAAGCATACAGTAGAGACCATTCCTTGCTAGCCTGAGAAGTTTCATTATGTTCCTGAACACAGCACTGCTAATTTCCCCCTCAATCAATAAATATTTATTGAGTGAGTTAATAAGCATTATTTCAGGCTTTCTTAGTCTGCTCAGGTTGCAATAACAAAATACCACAGACGGGGTAGCTTAAACAGCAAACATTTATTTTTGTCTTCAAGCTGGGAATCCAAGATCAGGGTGCCAAATATGGTGAGTTCTGAGGAAGGCTCCCTTCCTGGCTTGCAGATGGCCACCTTCTCTCTTTGTGCTCACACGGCCTTTCCTCTGTGCATGCAGAGAGATCTTTCTTCCTTTTCTTACAAGGCCAGCAATCCTATGTGACCACCCGCTCCACCCCTCCGATATAACCACATTTAATCTTTATTATCTCCTAAAATCCCTATCTCATTGGGGGTTAGAGCTTCAACAGAAGAATTTTGGAATACTGCAGTGAACATATCAAGCAAGTAAGGCCTAAGAACTAGTTCTTTAAAAAGAAGGAAAATTTATATATATATAAGAACTAGTTCTTTAAAAAGAAGGAAAATTATATATATATATATATATATATATATATATATATATATATATATGAAAAATCTATATATATAAAAGAAAAATCTCTCTCTATATAATATGCTAACTGTCCCTCTGTTTGACAAGTCGCTATGATGCGCACTGACCACCAGGGGGCAGACGCTCCAACTGGTAGGTTAGCTTGCTGCTGTGGTCTGGCCAATCAGGACTGGGCGAGACAGGCCAGACATGCCCTGGAACCCTCCCACGATCCCTCCCTGGCCCCGATCCTGCACCGGTGGGGTCCCTCGGCGTGGCCTGCGCCCTCTCACAATCCAGGACTCCTTGGGAGATGTCGGAGAGCTGGTTTCGGCCCGATCCCCACAGGCCAGGTGAGTGCACAGGGCCTCTAGTATATTTATAAGAATGTGAGTCTTAAGTGGCAGAAAGGGGCAGTAATTAAGGAATGGGGTACCAAGGACCTGAACCAGAGTGGTTGCCTTGAAAATTTAAGATATTTTGAAACCAAAATCAGCAGCAGCTAATTTTCATTTTGGTAAAGGAGGAGACACTGGTTTTATGATGAAAAATTTGATTTTTTCCCCCTCTTAAGTCTTAAAATAATCATATCCTTTGAGTTCACATTTTTATTCTTATTTGCATTTCGCAACTTTTGAAGTTTTTAAAAAAGAAGTCAAAGATCTGTGTTTCTGGCCTCCAGGCAGGTGAGAAGTCCCATTGGGCTATGAGCTACCATGGAGAGTGAACACGTCTATAATAAAAGCCATTTTTCAGCCTCCAGTGCCAATCCTTACAGTTGTCAATCAGTTCCAGATCCACTAAATGCAGCTGCTCAAAACCACAGCCTGTCACTCATTAGTAGAGAGTAAAGAGTTCTTTCAGTCTTCTCTCTTCTTTACTAAAGCTCTTGGGCCTCTTCCTGCCTTATTACTTACTTCTTTATTTTCTTTGTATCTTTGTAGCAAAAAAACCTCCTCCATTTATATATTAACCAGTGTGTTTTCTGTTCCAGGACCTTGTTATCCATGACCCTTCTCCACTCAGGCAGAAATAGATAATGTTTGATTGCCTCAAGGAATGGATGGCACAGCAGTATGTAAATAACAAAGAAATTATTAAATTTTGGCATTTGATTTTCAAAAGCCAGGATTCTGAGTATAAATGATAGAATTGAAGAGTGTTTTTTTTCCTGCTTCTGCTTTCCCCATCTCCTATGCTCAACATATACTAGATAAAGATTCTTTGGGATTTGGGCAGAAATCTGGAGGATCTCTGAGAGAACAGTATGCAACATATTCACCTAAATCGGAGGATAATGGACAGGATAGAAAATTCCATCAGATTTTGGGTTTTGATAGCAGGGAAGCCCATAACCTCCAATCTCTAGAATATATTCTAAGGAGGAAGCAAGGTCTCACAATTCTCTCACGCTTAGCACAGAAGGAGCAGCAAAAGATAGCACGGACTTAGCACTGAGTGGACAGTTAAAGTACTGTCAATCAATCACTCAATACAAGAAAGAAAGTAAAGTAACCATGCAGACAGCTTAGTAGGTGTCAACCACGCCAAATATTCATTCCCCCTTTCATTATGCTGACCTAGAAACTGAGGACACATACCTAGGGGGAAAGGAGAGGAAAAAGTCCTGCATTGATTAAGATTTAGTTTCTAGTCTCCAACAGAAAGAGGGCTCAAAAAAATTAAATTTACTCAATCATTTATTCATTCACTCAGCAAATATCCATTACATATTTGTTAGGTACAAATAACGTTTAGTTAAAAATACTGAAAATTACATTTCTTGAATACCTGACTTTGTGGACTATGATTCATTCCTAGAACAAATTCTTCCCTCCCTCATCTTTTCATTATATCTTTTAACTTCTTCACATAAACTGCAAGTTTGCCTACATTTCTCTAAACCTTATTCTATTGCATTTTAAAAAATTTCTTTATTGATTAAGTTATTACATATGTGTCCTTATCCCCACATTACCCCCCATCCCCTCCACTCATGCCCTCACCCCCCTATTGTCTGTGTCCATTGGTTAGGCCTATTTGCATGCATATAAGTCCTTTGGTTGATCTCTCCCCCTTACCCCCACCTTCCTCTACCTTCCCTCTGAGGTTTGACGGTCTGATCGATGTTTCTCTGTCTCTGGATCTTTGTTCATCAGTTTATGTTGTTCATTATATTCCATAAATGAGTGAGATCATGTGATATTTATCTTTCTCTGACTGGCTTATTTCACTTAGCATAATGCTCTCCAGTTCCATCCATATTGTTGCAAATGGTAAGAACTCCTTCTATATTTGATACAAAGTCCATGCTAGTTATGGAAAAAATTTAGCTATTAAAGTTACCAGAAAATAGCAGTAATTAAGGAATGGCACATGAAAGCTACTCTAAATATACAGACATATATGTTACAGAATTCTTTTCATTTATGATTCTTAAAAAATGTAAATTTTTATGTCATTGTGTCATAAGAATCTGTATTTCTAGTATCAGAATATGACTTCAAATTTGTACAAATGCATATTCCAAATTTGATAGTTTTGCATTTCTAATATATACTAGCTTCTGTAATTAGCTAGTTACTAATAATAGGAAAGGAGCAAAGAGAAGGCCAGATATTATGGATGTCACTTGGGCAGCTTCACCAGGAAGCTGCAACTTTGCACTCCCAGGGAACCACCAGCCCATTCCCTGCAGACCACTGGGGAAAGGGGTCCAACAAAGGGAAATAGATGCATACACAGTAAAATTGGTACAACATAGGGAAGATGACTGTCAGTCAAAACCTGGAAACAGAGATCATTGCCCAAAGTAGGCAGGGTCACTGCAAACCCGCAAAAATTTGGGAATAGATCATCCCCTAACTAAAGGAA